CATGTGAGGGGGTGGGTGGGAGTGCATGTGAGGGGGTGGGTGGGAGTGCATGTGAGGGGGTGGGTGGGAGTGCATGTGAGGGGGTGGGTGGGAGTGCATGTGAGGGGGTGGGTGGGAGTGCATGTGAGGGGGTGGGTGGGAGTGCATGTGAGGGGGTGGGTGGGAGTGCATGTGAGGGGGTGGGTGGGAGTGCATGTGAGGGGGTGGGTGGGAGTGCATGTGAGGGGGTGGGTGGGAGTGCATGTGAGGGGGTGGGTGGGAGTGCATGTGAGGGGGGTGGGTGGGAGTGCATGTGAGGGGGTGGGTGGGAGTGCATGTGAGGGGGTGGGTGGGAGTGCATGTGAGGGGGTGGGTGGGAGTGCATGTGAGGGGGTGGGTGGGAGTGCATGTGAGGGGGTGGGTGGGAGTGCATGTGAGGGGGTGGGTGGGAGTGCATGTGAGGGGGTGGGTGGGAGTGCATGTGAGGGGGTGGGTGGGAGTGCATGTGAGGGGGTGGGTGGGAGTGCATGTGAGGGGGTGGGTGGGAGTGCATGTGAGGGGGTGGGTGGGAGTGCATGTGAGGGGGTGGGTGGGAGTGCATGTGAGGGGGTGGGTGGGAGTGCATGTGAGGGGGTGGGTGGGAGTGCATGTGAGGGGGTGGGTGGGAGTGCATGTGAGGGGGTGGGTGGGAGTGCATGTGAGGGGGTGGGTGGGAGTGCATGTGAGGGGGTGGGTGGGAGTGCATGTGAGGGGGTGGGTGGGAGTGCATGTGAGGGGGTGGGTGGGAGTGCATGTGAGGGGGTGGGTGGGAGTGCATGTGAGGGGGTGGGTGGGAGTGCATGTGAGGGGGTGGGTGGGAGTGCATGTGAGGGGGTGGGTGGGAGTGCATGTGAGGGGGTGGGTGGGAGTGCATGTGAGGGGGTGGGTGGGAGTGCATGTGAGGGGGTGGGTGGGAGTGCATGTGAGGGGGTGGGTGGGAGTGCATGTGAGGGGGTGGGTGGGAGTGCATGTGAGGGGGTGGGTGGGAGTGCATGTGAGGGGGTGGGTGGGAGTGCATGTGAGGGGGTGGGTGGGAGTGCATGTGAGGGGGTGGGTGGGAGTGCATGTGAGGGGGTGGGTGGGAGTGCATGTGAGGGGGTGGGTGGGAGTGCATGTGAGGGGGTGGGTGGGAGTGCATGTGAGGGGGTGGGTGGGAGTGCATGTGAGGGGGTGGGTGGGAGTGCATGTGAGGGGGTGGGTGGGAGTGCATGTGAGGGGGTGGGTGGGAGTGCATGTGAGGGGGTGGGTGGGAGTGCATGTGAGGGGGTGGGTGGGAGTGCATGTGAGGGGGTGGGTGGGAGTGCATGTGAGGGGGTGGGTGGGAGTGCATGTGAGGGGGTGGGTGGGAGTGCATGTGAGGGGGTGGGTGGGAGTGCATGTGAGGGGGTGGGTGGGAGTGCATGTGAGGGGGTGGGTGGGAGTGCATGTGAGGGGGTGGGTGGGAGTGCATGTGAGGGGGTGGGTGGGAGTGCATGGAGTGCTGCATGAGACGGTTCTCACCTGTCCAGGCCCACCTCCAAAGCCGCCCTCTGGATTCTGTGGGGGAGGGGAGGAGAGAAGGATGGGCCAAATGAGGGAAGAACGAGAAGGCAAGGAATGGAGGGGAGGAGATTGCGAGAGCAGAATTGAGAGGGAGGAGTTGAAATGACGATTTGACCATACATGAGCGAATGAGTGAAGTCATAGACAATATGTGGATCAGTGAGGCTGACTGGATCACGGCACTCGGGCCGTTCACCATTGTAATGCCGCCTCAACTCCCAGCCTGAGCTGAGCCCATCCGAGTTCACCTGAAGCACACCTGGCGGCACCTGAAGCTCACCTGATGGCACCTGAAGCTCAAATGGCGGCGGCACCTGAAGCTCACCTGGCGGCACCTGAAGCTAACCTGACGGCACCTGAAGCTCACCTGGCGGCGGCACCTGAAGCTCACCTGGCGGCACCTGAAGCTCACCTGGCGGCACCTGAAGCTCACCTGGCAGCGGCGCAGTGTGTCGGCGCACCGAGCAGCAAGAGAGGCGTCAAGAGGATGCTGGAGGAGGGCGAGGGAGTGCACGATCCAGAACAGCAGCCATGGCCGACTGGTAACCGACAGACCCAAGAGAAACAGGTGCGACGCAGGGAGGAGGGAGGCAGGGATTGGAAAGGGCAAGCAGGGTCGGGAGGATGTTGGAGGAGGGCGAGGGAGCGCACGATCCAGAACAGCAGCCATGGCCGACTGGTAACCACACTCCACGGAGAGGAAGGTGTGGGGCGGGAAGGAGGAAGGGAGATGGAATGGTGGAGAGGGGTGAGCAGGGATTGGAAAGGGCGAGGGGTTGAAAGGGTATTGGAGGAGGGCGAGGGAGTGCACATTCCAAAACACCAGCCACACTCGACTGGTAACCACACAATCAGAGGTGAAGGAGGCGATGGGGATAAGTGGTCAATAAATTGGTGGAGAGGGGTGAGCATGGAAAGCGATGCTTGCTGGACAAGCGCGCTGTGAAGTTTGAATGGACAAACGGAATTTGATATGCTGACCTGGCATCCAGGCTGGCATAGCTGCTCGAGACTACTGAAGGTGATATGCTGACCTGGCATCCAGGCTGGCATAGCTGCTCGAGAGGTGGTCCAATCCTTTCAACAAGAATCGCACGTGGCGTTCCCGTAGCAGTCGCAGCCCCTCTCCCCCGCTCCCGCCCCGCTCCTTCCGCCTTCCGCCCGCCGCCTGTTCCCCCTCCGCGCCCCTGCGGGAGAAGCAAACAAGAGAATCGCGGAGAGAAGCGCGTGACGGGAGCAGCGTGAAACGAATGAAAAACTAACTATTGAAGCAGTGCAAGTGTAGATAGAAGATTCCCGGAGGACGTTCAGCCGCTACGATTGGGGCATCCCAGGTCCGGAAGGCAAAACGATTGCTATCCCTAAGACGCGCATAGCGATTCGTGCGCGCCAAAACTCGGCGCGCAGTGCGTACCGAGTCCGAGAGCCGGAGCGGCCGCCGCCTCGCGCAAGCCACTCGCCGTAAATTCGGCTCACCGCCTCCTCCAGCTCATCCTGCGCGTCCATTGTCGACATGGCGCCGCACCGGTGGAGCCGGCTGGATAAAAAGGTAATGACCGCGGTGAGTCCTAAACGTAAACCAGAAGTCAAGTGAGTGTGAAACGCGGTACGCCAGATTTAACGTTTTAAACGGCGCGCGCTCCAAGGTAAGTCCAAGCACCAGGTTGCTGATTGGGTTCGACGTAACGACCTGAGAGGGCGAGTAACGAAATTGTGGTGAGATACAAATGGCACAGGGAGAGAAAAAGTAGCAGGGAGGGGAACGAAAATATCAGAGCCAGGTTTCGATCCTGGGACCTGTGGGTTATGGGCCCACCACGCTTCCGCTGCGCCACTCTGATATGCTTAATTCTGAGCAAACATATTAAAAAAACAATGATACAACTTGCCAATTGAATGATTTGGCGAGCTGCCGGAATGAGGCAGCTACTGGGGTCGTCGGTGGGCGGTTCCCGCGTGGGCGTGGCGCTGCTGTTCGTCGCACTCGTCGTCGCATGGACCGTCGCATACTTCGCCACGGCGCACTTCACGCTGCTCACTTCGCCGTCCGCCTTCGCTCTTCTCCCAGCCGGCAATGCCACCTCCCGTGCATGGCTTCAACGGCTGCAAAGTAGCCTCTCCGTGCTGCCGCAGCAAGGGCAACCGCCACAGCCACAGCACGAGCAACAGGAGAATGGGCAACAGAGTAAGGAGCAGGAGCAGGGGCGGCAGGGGCAGCAAAAGGAGCAGAGCGCCGGTCAGCAGAGCGGCGACGGGCGGGACGTGTGGGACAAGCGGGAACAGAAACCTGCGAAGCAGAACGACTCGGCGTCGCACGCTTCTGCGAACGAACTTTTAACGCAGGAGCAGCAGTCGCAGCAGCACGTGGGGAAACAGGTTGACACTGCGAGTGTTGATACTGCTGCCAATGACGGCCCGGTTGCCATCTGCCTCGTGGGCGGCGCTCGGGACTTCGAGGCCACGTGGCCTTCCATCCTGCGCCACGTCATCAGCCGCTACCCGCCAGCTCACCTCTTTCTGCACTCGCCGCTGGACGAGCGCGCCAGCAAGCTGTGGGCGCTGCTGCTCGCCTCCCCTGCCAATGCCACCACCGCCTCCTCTGCTGCTGCTGCTGCTGCTGCTGCTGCTGCTGCTGCTGCTACCAACAGCACACAGAGTGCAGTGAGCACGGCAGTTAGTATAGCAGCAGTGCGCATCTTCCCCAGTGCGGACATTGCAGAGACGGACCAGCACCGCGCGGTGCTCACCAGTAACGGCTCGCCACATGGCATCCAGGTGGGGCACGTGGTGTGGGGGCAGCATGGCATGTGCATGGATGGAGTAGGCAGTGCTGTGTTGGACACGCGGTGTTGCTGGTGGGGTACGCAGTATGGGCACCTGAGCCTGCAGAGGAATCTTTTTAGTCGACTCAAAGTCACCTCGTGGGGTACGCAGTATGGGCACCACAGCCTGCAGAGGAATCTTTTGAGTCGACTCAAAGTCACCTCGTGGGGTACGCAGTATGGGCACCAGAGCCTGCAGAGGAACGGACTAACACCGCCATACTGCGTACCCCACCAAGGCCTGTCCAAGGGCTTGAATACTGTTGAGAGTAAGGGCTTGTCTGGCCAATTCAACAGCTTCTCTCCCCTCCCACATCTACTCTTCATTTCCTTCTCTCGAATGGTCCTGGTATTGATTGATGGGAGATACATGGGAAGATGCAAACACATGCAAACCCAGACATAACACTTGGTCTACCTAACTACCTCATTCCCTTACTCCCTCCCGCCCCCTCCGTCCGACCCTCAAGGTCGAACGAGGGCTCTATTAGCTGGTAGAGCTGGCCTTCGCTAAGGGGGGCAAAGGGGGCCCGCATGCCGAGCTCGTCCGCTGCTATTGCCTCGTTGGTCTTGCAGCGGAGGGCGTTGGCTTGTGCTTTTTGGAGGCACACGCTCCAGCGCTGGCGGTATTCCGTCAGCAGCTTGGCGGCCTCGTAGGAGTTGGGGGCTGCGTTGAATCGCAACTTGGCCGCCAGCTCCGCGCACTGCCGCAAGAATGCCAACACCCCGGGCGAGGGGTACCCATATGTCTCTACCGCTAGGGCATGAAAGCCCACCCACGCATTTCGGCGCGCGTATTTCTGCTCCTTCTTGTCCGCAGCTGCCCTAGCCGCCCACCCCGGTGCTCTATTGCAGTTCTCATCTTGGTGAGAAACGGGGTCCGTCACTGTCACGTCGCACATCCAAACCTCTCCCGTCCGGGGATGGCGGATTGCGACGTCCGCCTTCAGGTTTTCAACGAGAGAGAATACATAGGTTTCTTTGTGCACCGTGAATCCCGCCTCTGCCGCAATCAAAGCAATCTCGTCCCTGAGCGCATGGTGAGTCGCAATCCTTCCCCCCCCTTTCTCGCAGCGCATGAGATGGTTTGGGAGGCGGTCATCAGGGAATTTGGTGCGGTAGCGGCAGTCGCAGCGCCTGGGGACAGGTAGGGGGAGGCCCAGGCGGAACGCAGCAGCGGAGGAGAGCTGGGAGGGTCCCATCCTAAGCGAGGGTATGATGGGTAGTGCCAGCAGCCAATCTCCCGCACCAGGGCCGAGCACCGACTGCATTCTCTGGGCATGGCCAGAGAGGGGGTTGGGGCGCATCCGCCTTGCCTCGTTCATGACCCTCAGGAAGCGGCGTGTCTGAACCGCCAGCGCTAGAGACTGCTGCAGCTTGAGGCCCTGTGGGTCTGCTTTCCCGGCCTGGAGAGCTTCTAGAGCCTCGGGGGGGGAGGGCTGCTTCCGCTGCTGCAAGGCGTGCAGGCAGGGCGTGCGCGGAGCCGGAGGTGGGGTCCATTAGGGGGAGGAGGGCTGCTACATCTGGGTGGAGTGCCTCGGCCAGGGAGTGCAGTAAGTGGGAGGTGCCCACCACCGACGCAAGGTACGCATAGCTCCCTTCAACTGCAGGATTTGTAATGCCAAGCCCCCCCAATGTTACGGGCAGCGCCGCTTGCCTCCAGATTCTCCTCTGTTCCGCGTCACTCCTTGGCAGCATGATATGGGCCGCGTCCAGGAAGGTATGCAGCAGTTGCTCCCCCCATGCCGCCCATTCATCCTCAAATAGTGCCTCTAGCGGAGTGGTTCTGGCCAGGAAGGATGCTCGCCGGCCTACGCAGCGGGTGAGTAGCAGCAGGCACAACTGGGGGTCCATTTGGGCCAGGAGTGGCAAGGGTTCTGCTGCTGCTGCAAGCCTTTCCCTTACTCTGGCGGCACAGCCATCTGGGGTCCCGATTGGGCTTCCTAATATCCGCAGTCCGTCTGCTGCAATGGGGAAGCTCGGAGGGAGAGAGGCGGGGTCTATGGCGGTTGCAGACCAAGCCGCACACTTCCCAAGGTTGTGCTCGAGGCCAATGTGGATCAGTGCGGCAGTGAGGTGTGTAAATGCCGCCGTGCACGCTTCTGCTTCGCCTAGCAGCGTTATGTCGTCTGCATAGGCGAGAATGACGACCCTTGGGTGAGCTAGTGCCGTTGCGGTAAGGTGTGGGTGGATGTTTGCCGCAAAGAGCAAGGGGCCAAGAGGGTCCCCCTGGCGGACGCCTCTAGCACTTAGCAGTGGAGCCACGCCGAAGTCATGGTCGAGGTGGAGTGCTGAGGGAGTTCCGTAGGAGAGGCGGACAAGGGGCAGAAGGCTTTCAAGGGACTCGTTCTTGAGCCCCTCGAATACCGCCGCCCTTTCCACCGCGTTAAACGCGTTGGCGAGGTCAATCTGCAGCGCCACCGAGCCCGGGTTCTCCTTCAGGTATGTGCGCGTAGTGTGAATGGCCGCCTCAATCCCTCCAGCCACTGCTACCCCGAACTGTAGAGGCGCGAAGTGTGATCGTGCCGCCGCCCCAGTCAGGAACAGTGCTGCCTTGGCCACTATGCGAAGAAGGCATTCGCCCACGGCTATCGGTCGGGTCCCCCCTTGTGGTTTTGTGAAGGACAAGAGCCGTGAGGCTGTGAGGAGCTCGGTGGCCTCGCTGCTGAGTTTCCCGGCTATAGCTGTATTGGTAAGTGCGAGGAGATGGGCGAAGATGTCTGGATTTCCGAGTGCAGCATCGCGTATGTGCTCGAAGGTTGTGCCTGAGGGCCTTGCTCCCACCCCGTTTGGGAGTTTGGCTACGATGCGCCTGAAGTCGCGCGGCTCTATCGAAGGGGTTTTCTCGGGGGAGAAGGTGCGTATCCATTCTGGTAAGGGCTGGAGTGCTTGCGGGTGTCGTGCTGCTAATGCCGCGTACACTTCGGAGGAGGCAGGTGAGACCGGAGTGGCTTGGAGGGACTGTAGTGACTTGGCCAGGTTACCACGCTTGGCCAGTCCCTCCGCTCTAGCAAGGATGCCCTGAGTGTCAGGTACGTGACGTGGCTGGGCTGGGAGGGAAATTGCTTCAACTGCCTCGTCGTACAGGCCAGACCAGAGTCCCTGGCGGAAACGGAGGAGGCGATTCATCATCGCGTTCCAGTCTGGTTTGCGAGCTGACGAGGTGCGTAGGAGGATTCGCGGGAGGAAAGTCAGTAACCTCCACCCCGCGGTCGAGTTGGGATTGGCTGCCAGGTGGAGGAGTGGGGTGAGTAGGCAGACTGCGAATGATTCGCGAAGGTCTTTTGGCGGGTGACGGGCGAGGGGGGGCTGGCGACTGTCGCGCAGTGGGTCCAGGTCCCAGCCTGCGACTTGCGCGAAAAGGTCCAGTCGTTTCGCCAAGTCGCCTGGGTGGATCATTGGTGGGGTTGGAGTTGGGGTTGGGGTGTTCCTATTGGTTGCGGCAGAGTCAAATGTGATTTCTGCCGCGGTCCGATTTCCCCTCCAGGCCTGATTTCCCCCCACATTCCGATTCCTGGCTGGGGTTCGTGTTGCAGACGCGGCTCCAATTTGTTGGTCCGGGAACTCAGCCCCACGAACCAAGAGCTCCTCAACATCTTCATCAGCTTCAGCATCCAAACCTCCCTCCGTTTCGGGGTTAAAACCTGGGTAACCCTCGTCACTCTCGTCATTCTCCGATTCACCACTCTCCCCCCTGCTAGCGGCTTCCTCGCCGCCTTCCGCGCCTTCCCGGAGTAGTCGTTCTGCTGTCCTCGCATAGCCGCTCGTGCCTGTACGTCGGCCTCCTCTCCTCCCAGCTCCTCTTCCTCGGCGTCCTCTCCCGCCTACGCGTCGTCCGCCAGGTGTGCCACTCCTCGCGATTGGGCTGTGTATTACAGGCGTGCGGTTTTCGCCAATCTCCTCCCCTGCCAAGCGGGGCTCTAGCGTCCTCGGCTCACGCCTCGGTCGTGATGGCGGGGTCCGTGGGTCGCGACCGCGCCTTGGAAGCAACCGCGGAGAGCGCTCAGCTTGTTGTGCAGCCAAACCCCTAGTATGCGCCTCCGCGTTCCCAAGTGCAGGCTCGTCCTGCTGCGTCGGCGCCCGTGCGCCGTCTTGAGCGCGGGTTGTCTCTTCCGCTGCGCGGGGCGGATCGTCACGCGTCTCCTGAGCAATCCCGTGCTCCCCTAGTCGTCGCCTCGAATGCCTTGCCGGCGCGTCAGGAGCGGGGCCGGTCCCCGCCGCCTCGTGGATATCGACCCGCGTCCCCTGCGCGTCGCGCCCCCGAGCTGCATGACTCTCGGCGGCGATGGGACGAATATCAGCGGGAAATTCAGCATCGCGACCGCCGCTACCGCTCTTCTGAGAGGTCGCCGGAGAAGCGCTCCCCGCGGGAGCGGTCCCCTCCGCAGCGGACGCCGCGGCCGTCGCCTCCGCGTCGGGGCCGCGGGGCTCATGCGGGCCGTTGGGATTCTCGCCGCCGTGAGCAGTCCCCGCCCCGTCCTCAGTCGGCTGGGTCTGGAGGGCGTCGTGGGCGGCGGAATGGTTATGCGCGCGGCGGGGGTAGTCGTGGCCAGGGCTCCACTGCTGACCACGCGGGGAATATGGTGGCGGATGCAGTGCGGGAGGTGGAAGCGTCGGGGGCAGCAGCTCACGTTCACGTGTCTGTGACCACTGAGCCCCCCACCGCACCTGTTGCGGTTGAAGCCGATCCGCTGCGCGCTCCGACCTTGCGGGAGTATCTGCCAGCTGCAGCGGCGAGGGGTCCGTTCCGCGGACGCCGCCAAGCCCCAGGTTACCCTGCTCCTCAGAATACGGTTGGCCAGACTCCGGGCCAGGTGGCGATGTTTCTGCCGCGCGGAGTTCCGACTGCGCCTCTCCCCAGCCGCGCGGGGAGAGATCCCACGCTGAGCATGTGCCGGATGTGGAATTTGGCGGGGGCGGCTGAGGGGCTGGCGAGCCTGCAGCTGGCGGCGTGTGAGGCCATGCGTCACACACCGAGCAGTTTTGCGCAAGGGCCCCAAGGACAGTGCGTCGCTTGGGCAGGAGAGATTGTCCCCCTTTTATCGCCCGTGTCGGATGCGCCCGCCGGGGTAGCACCCTTAGCCCGTACCTTCCCCCGCCTCGCTCTTGATCTTCACGCTGCGGCTCAGCACGGGACCCCTGTTGACACTCTTCGCTTCTCGGCGGAGCTTCTCCACTCGATGGCGGGGTGTCTTCTCGCGATGCTTGAGGCGGAGGGGGCTGGCCTGTACACGCAGTAGAGCGGCGTCTCGTGTAGTATTGCATCTTGATCGTAAGGTGATGCTCTCCAGTTGCTTGATTTCTTCCTTCTTGGAATGCCTTGCTTGATCAACTCCTTGTGTGAGTGTCTTGCCTCTGAAACGCGCGGCCGAAGGCCGCGCTGGCGAGCGGCGGCGGCCGAAGGCCGCCGGCGCGAGCCGCGGAAAACTGAGAACACACGAAATAATGAGGAGAAGAAGGCACCAAGGGCCCTTAAATAGGCTCAGAGGAAGAGGGCCGAGGGAAGAGGAAGAGGGCTGGGTGCTAAGTCCTCTCTCTCTCTCGCTCTCTCCGCCTACGGAAAACTGAGAACACACGAAATAATGAGGAGAAGAAGGCACCAAGGGCCCTTAAATAGGCTCAGAGGAAGAGGGCCGAGGGAAGAGGAAGAGGGCTGGGTGCTAAGTCCTTCTCTCTCTCTCTCTCTCCGTATTCCCTTTCCCCCCATCTTCCGCCTTCATCCAACCCACCAGGGTCTGCTGCAGTACTTTCGTCTTGTGGAGGGCTGTATCGACCTCATATCCACCCACCAACTGCAACACAACATCTCCTACCGCTGGGTCATTCGCACACGAGTCGACGGCTACTGGACCGCCCCTCCTCCCCTTCTCCCCTCCCTCCACCCCTCTGCCTACACCATCCCCTTCGGTTTCGACTGGGGGGGCCTCAACGACCGCCTCGGGATTGGCTCTTGGGACGCCTCCAAAGTGGCTCTCAGGCGTTTATCTGCGTTACAAGACTTGTTCAGTGCAGGGTATAGGGCGCTGACGTCTGAGAAGGCGTTTCGGGCGCAGATGGAGGCTGCGGGGGTGGCAGTGGCAAGAAAGCATTTTCACTTCTGTGTTGTGTCGCGGAGGCGGTCCCGAGGAGGCGATGGGTGTGCTGCCATGATGTTTTCAACTGCCACCTACGGGCCGCTGAATGGGGCCAAGTGCCGGCCCTGCTCCTCCCCGTGTGCTGTTGATGATCAGGTGAGTGGGGTGGAGCATCGGGGTCGTGTGAGGGAAGGGGAAGGGGGTGGTGGTGCAGTGAAGCAGTGAAAGCATGGGACAGTAGGGGCATGGGCTGGGACAGCCACTTTACAGTTGACTCAGCATCCATCCACCCACCCCAACCCCTCCCCATCAGGCGGTGGCTCTGATTAACACAGTGCGCAAAAACCCTGAAAGTCACTCAACAGTTGACTCAGCATCCACCCACCCACCCCAACCCCTCCCCATCAGGCGGCGGCAATCATCAACACAGTGCGCGCGGCGGGCGGCATGTACCGCCACCCGTTGCCACCCGGGATGCAGCTGTGCGACGCGAAGCAGGCGTGGGAGGGCGCGTGGGAGCGGCAGTTCGACCGGGACGTGGAGCGGCAGCGCGGCGGGAAGACCCTGAGCTGGCAGCGCCGCAACATTGGGCGGGTTGCTGCTAGCCTTGCACATTGCACGGAACAGTTTAACAAGGTGAGCTGGTTATTGCGAATTCTCAAGAAGCAGGCGTGGGAGGGCGCGTGGGAGCAGCAGTTCGACCGGGACGTGGAGCAGCAGGGCGGGGGGAAGACTCTGAGCTGGCAGCGCCGCAACATCGCCCGGGTTGCTGCCAGCCTCACGCACTGCACGGAGCAGTTTGAAAAGGTGTGGTGCGTGTTTGAGTTGGTTCTGTACATTCTCCATGTGGGGCGGCAGTGTAATTGACTCCATGCCATCTGATTTAATGCCATGCAGCATTATCGCATGAACAATCAACCCATGCGTCATCACCCCATGCACCATGACCCCATGCACCATCACCCCATGCACCATCACCCCATACACCATGACCCATGGCATCCCAACACCAGCTCAAGGCCGTGAGTGTGACGTGGGACTCGCCTCCCCCAGTGGCTGTGTGCATCCGGGCGCAGCTGGGGGAGGTAGAGCTGATGGGCAGCAAGACCGGCGAGTTCAACACCTTCACCTCTCTTCTCACCAGCAAAAGGTAAGGGGTCAACTGGGGGAGTTATTTGGGGGATGTGAGGGGCCAACTGGGGGAGGTGAGAGGTCAACTGGGGGAGGTGAGGGGTCAACTGGGGGAGGTGAGGGGTCAACTGGGGGAGGTGAGGAGTCAACTGGGGGAGGTGAGGAGTCAACTGGGGGAGGTGAGGAGTCAACTGGGGGAGGTGAGGAGTCAACTGGGGGAGGTGAGGAGTCAACTGGGGGAGGTGAGGAGTCAACTGGGGGAGGTGAGGAGTACACCAGGGGAGGTGAGGAGTCAACTGGGGGAGGTGAGGAGTCAACTGGGGGAGGTGAGGAGTCAACTGGGGGAGGTGAGGAGTACACCAGGGGAGGTGAGGGGTCGACTAGGAGAATTGAGAGCCTGTTGAGCGTGAGGAGAACCATCTACCACTCTTCTTAGTAGCGACAAGTGAGTTCAACTCCTTCATTCCCTGCTCCCATCATTCTTCTCTGCATACCCTACTGCGTGTTTTTTTTTGTTTATGCAACTGAAACCTGCAATATGTAGACCCCCCAATCTGCACGTGTGTCTGCCGCGTGTGGCATGTGTGGTGTGTCCCCCATGTCTGTCGTGTGTGGTGGGACCGGAGCAGCACGTTCATATCGGTGACGAACAGCAAGGCCAGCCAGAGCTGGGAGCGGCATCTCTTCAGGCGCTACGGCAAGGTGCGCGTGGGATTCAGGAATGCCGATTGGCTGGCGTCCCCTCAATCCGCCAATGCGAGCGCGACAACTACCCGGCCTTTCAATGCCGTCAGGGTGAGTGTAGCTTGGTTTCTTAAGTTTATTGTTTTTATTGTAGGTAAATGTTCAACTTCCTCATCGTTTCCTTGATAATATTTGTTTGTGTGTGCCCCTTTGTTGCAGGTTGAGATGAGAGTTATGAAAGAATATTCTTCTCAGAAATGGTTGAGCATCCTCGGCAGTATCAAGACGTGTCAGCTGCTCATAGGGTTTACAGGGAGGGAGCGAAAGAGCTTCACACCAGAAAGGGTTACGGCGCTACTTGCATCGTCCCATTACTTCCAATTAGACTCGTGCAAACGGACTGTGTCCTTGCAGGGAGAAAGATGCACCTATTTTTCTTTACGTTATTGTGTTAAAAACTCGCTGTATACTTCCGTAAATAGTGGATCAACTTGATTCTTAAAGCGGGTCTTCCACACTCGAAGAGGCCTGTAAGGAATTTTCTCGATATTCCTTAGAGCACCCTGCAACATCGCGTACAGCAGCAGCCGTTGTTCGCCCGTTACTGCTAACGGGGCTTCGCCGACTTCGCGCGCACTGTTTCACCAAACCTCGCACTGCTGGCCTGGCCGTGTCGGCCTACGCTTCGGAACTAGCCCGAGCCTCGCTCCAGCGTAGCACTAGCTAGCTCGCACGCACCGCGTTACCGTTTGCATGTTTCGCGTATAAATGTTCGCTCATGCCTTCGCTCACATTTTGTACTCGTTTGACACCTTAGTGCAATTCTCGCTACTTCGATCCATTGCACCCGTAACACTTGGTATTCAGAGCCTCTTTCCTTTCGGACCACGCATCTCCGCACCCCATGAAATCAACTTTTTATTTTTCACTCGAAGGGACTCACGTACCTTAGCACCTAGGAGTCGCTGTCCTCGCGTTCTCTCGTAAACGCGTGCAGCCACGACTGCGCCTAGACTAAGACGAGCCGACGCCCTTCGAAATGGCTAAACATATCGACGTCACGACTCTCACGCAGGAGCACTTGAACGATCTGCTGCGACAAATCCGCGAGAGCGCCGAGGAAATCGCGACGCTGACGGCAGAACGCTCGTCCCTGCAAAATGACCTCACACGGGCACAATCCCAAGCACCTGGCACTCCGATTCAGCCCGCACCACAGACATCACAGCACGGAAGTGTGGGGCAACCCGCAAGCGCCGCAAGTGATGGCGTCGTCCGCCATGACGGAGACGACGACCACGGCACGACACACCCCGACGCGACGAATGCGGCCAGGACTCAGCCTCGAGTCACGATTTCGGTGCCGGCCGGCGAATCAACTCTTCCGTCGCCGATGCCGCTAAAGCCGCAGCTTCCGCCATGCTTTGACCCAAGTCAGCGGGGTGGTCCTACCGTTCAGGCGTGGCTCTTCACGTTGAACGTCTTCTTCGACGCGAACTACGTCTCGGAGGATATGGCGAAGATTCGCTACGCCGTGTCGTTGCTGCGAGGACCCGCCATGGACTGGTGGCGCGTCATCGTCACGAAGCCGGTGGACTACGCGACTCTACCGACACGGGAAGGACAAACCGGACCCTGGGCGCCGTCGTATTTCGTGGAGGTGCCCCAGTATCGCACGTGGGACGCATGGTGCGCAGGTCTGCGCGCTCGTTTCGAGCCAATCGCGGCTTCGATCGCGGCGCGACAGAAGCTCCGCACTTGGCGCCAACTCGGTTTCGTCCAAGATTACACGAGCGGATTTCTGGCGCTATGCGAGTAGGTGGGATATATGCACGAGAGCGAGCGCATCGACCGCTACATCGGCGACCTGAAGCATGACATCGCTCAGGAAATCCAGCTTCGCGGCGTCACCGACTTTCAAGAAATTCTCGCTATGGCGGAGAAACTTGATTTCTTCCGCCGACCAAGACCGGGGTCCTACGGAAGCAGCCATTGGGGACATCGGCCTCGTGGGACGAACGAGGGCGCCACGATACGTGCCGTTGCCGCAAATGCCGTTGCCGCACCGTTCAAAGGGCGCTGCTTTGCGTGCAATTGGCCGGGACATCGCAAGAGCGAATGCCTGGAAAACCCTAAGGGAAAGGGGGAAGCTGAGCAGCAGAAACAGACCAACCAACAGGGAAACGCTGGGAGTCAGTAGCTGACGGGCCCTCTACTGACAGGTCACGCCGCTCGCCCGACCCAACCGACCCTCACCGAGTGATTTTGCCGGTTCACGCAATCGACCACACTCGGCCGAATAAAGAGGGGACTACGGTAGACAGCCAGATACTGCTTAGTGGGAAAATCGGGACGGACTTAGTTAAAATCTTCGTAGACGGGGGAGCTAGCCACAGCCTCATCAACACTGCTGGAGCACAAAAACTGCGACTGCCACTAGACAGATGTTTACGTGAGATCGACGCACGACTGGTAGACGGCACGCCGCTGGCAATACGGGAACGCCTAGAACGGGTTCGGATTCGATGTGGGGGTAACTTCACGTTTAGCCAGGAAATGCTAGCAACGACCCTCAACGGAACCGACATTTTACTCGGGCGTGATTGGCTGCGACGACAAAATCCGCGAATCGACTGGACGACGGGTGACTGCACCGTGCGAGTGAACGGTAACAACATCGCCCTACCTCGCTGGGGCTCGCCGGAGTCTTCGTCGGTGCGTGTCAACGCGATCACGATGAAACGCGCCGTAGCGGCAGGAGCTGACGTGTACGCGGTTGACATTCGGGAAGCCGAGGCAGCAGACAAAGGAGGGGATTTACAGAAACTGCTGGCCGACGTACCGAGTGACCTGGCAACACTGTTGAAGCAGTACAGCGACATTTTCCTGGACGATTTACTGACGGGACTGCCACCTCAGCGACCGCACGACCATAGGATAGAGTTAGAACCGGGGGCACAGCCGACAGGTTAGCGACAGTTCCGACTGACCCAGCCCGAACTGGACGAACTGAGGAAGCAGCTCGATTACCTGCTCGAGAAGGAATTCATTCGCCCTAGTTCGTCGCCTTTCGCAGCACCGATACTGTTCACACCGAAAAAAGACGGGGGATTTCGCATGTGCATAGACTACCGAGCACTGAACAGGGTTACCATCAAATCCCGTTACCCCATCCCGCGAGCCGACGAACTGATCGACCAACTGCGCACAGCCCGGGTTTTCTCGAAAATCGACCTTGGAGGGGGTTACCACCAGATCCGCGTCAACCCGCCCGACTGCCCTAAGACCGCATTTCGCAGACGCTACGGATCCTTCGAATACACCGTCATGCTCTTCGGACTGACCAACGCCCCCGCCACTTTTCAAATGACGATGAACGAAGCTTTCCGCCCGCTCTTAGATAAGTGCGTCATAGTATACCTGGACGACATACTGATTTACAGCCCTGACAGAGCACAACACTTACAGGATATCGAAGCAGTTTTTAAAATACTGGGTGAAAACCGCCTACTGACAAAAGCGTCTAAATGTGAGTTTTTACAGGACCGCCTGGAGTTTTTGGGACACGTTATTTCAGCTGCAGGAGTGGAAATAGACCCGAAGAAAATTGCAACGATTCAAGCTGTGAAATTGAACGAGAATGGATTGACTAAGGGAAAGTTGGGTACAAGCACAAACCCTGAACTGGGTTGTACTCACTACATAGTACCCCACTGCAGGCTAAACAGCAAATACATTCTGACACACCCCCATAGTCAAAGTGGGGTATAATCAGCAGAGCAAGCAGTCATAGAGCAGGTTCACAATGGCAAGCAAAGCTAGAGGCTATCACAGAGGGCAAGTGAGGAGGAGGAGAGTACTGTGGACGGAGAGAAGATGGGAGGCAACGACTGAAGCTGCAGAGGCACGGGCACAGGAGCGGCTGACTCAGTGGCTACCGAAGCAAGGGCGACGGACTACTGGAGTGACTGGCTCCGCGGCTATAGACGAGCGGCAGGAGCAACGGACCCACTGGCGACTGGTGCAACAGGCTCACTGGCTACCGAAGCAAGGGCGACAGACTACAGGCGCTGCAGGCGACACGACAGCTACCTCCACACAACCTCCTCCAACTGACCCACACCCTTGACACACACCCCCTGCTGAACCCCTAACTCCACTCCCACGTCACCCCCCTAGCACCACTCCGACGGCTCCAACAGGTCCACCCCCCTCAGCGGCAGCTGCAACACTGGGAGACGGAGGAGGAGGAGGAGCAGGGGACGGCATACAGAAGCTGCACCCCCATACCCCCCACCCCCAAACCCTAATCCAAGAGAACGGGCAGCAGCAGGGGTGGGGCGCCATCAGAGGCACGGGGGACAGCGGGCAGTGCAGGGGCAGCAAAGAACGGGCCGCCCACGGGCCTGGCACAGCCGCCCGAACCGCGCGCAGGCGGCCCGAGCCGCGCGCGGGCCTGTACGGGCCGCGCGCAGGCCACGACGGGCGACAAGGGGCGACGCGCGGGTCACCGTCGCCCGTCGCAGCGCCTCCCGGGAGCGACGCGCTGCGTGACGGGGCAGAAACCCGCCATGCGCCTCGGGGCGCATGGCGGGCAGAGAACCGCCGCGCGCCTCGGGGCGCACGGCGGGCAGAAAACCGCCGCGCGCCTCGGGGCGCACGGCGGGCAAAAAACCGCCGCACGCTCCGAGCGCGCGGCGGGATGAAAAATCCGTTGCACGCCACGGGGCGTGCAACACAGAGAGTAGCAGTAGCAGCGGAAGCAGTGAGGTGGTGAGCCCACCCACAGGATCGACCCAAGGGGATCGACCTGCTCTGATAGCATGTGAAATTGAACGATAATGGATTGACTAAGGGAAAGTTGGGTACAAGTACAAACCCTGAACTGGGTTGTACTCACTACAGAGTACCCCACTGCAGGCTAAACAGCAAATACATTCTGACACAAGCATGGCACGCGCCGACCAACTTGACCGAGTTGCAGAGTTTTTTGGGGTTCGTCAACTACGTGCGCCGGTTTGTCTACAACATGGCGAAGCTCACTACCCCGCTGACAGACCTGCTGAGGAAGGGGGTTCAGTACACGTGGAGGGAGAAAGAGCAAGCTGCCTTCTCGGGCCTCAAAAACATTTTTGTGCTCACCACCCGTGCTTCACATCGCAGACCCACACCGTTCGTTCAAGCTCGTCACTGACGCAAGTGACATCGCTGTGGGAGCAGTACTGTTGC